GCATTATCATATTCTTTTAATTCTATAGTCTGGGTAATTATAATATCTTTCTTTTTTCTCGATGATTAATTAGATTTTTTTCGCGCTTAATGTCAAAAATTTAATTAGTTATAGACTTTGCTATTGTATTTTTTGTAATTTCTTTACTAAATAATTATTTGATTGTTATAAAAATTTGTTTTATTTTTCATTGGCTGCGGTAAGGCTATGGCAATAGCCGAGCGGTTAGCAGTGCGTACTAGCACGAGGAAGATCATGGGTTTGATTTCTGGTCGGACCAACACCAAAAATTATAGAACAATTTTTTGAATAAAAAATTGCTTATTTTTAAAGCAAGCAAGCCCAAAATGAAAACAATTAGTCTGCACACTAGTTAATATTGCTACATTATCGGAAGGTGAATTATTAATTCATAAACAAATTAAAATCGAAATCGGGTCTGTAATTAATCTCTTGGTCAAACAATGTCCAAAAGCCCATAAAAAGAAAAGAACTTTTTTTTAATTAATCAATCATATACATAAATATAATTACAGGACGTGTAAGTAAACATCAACGACGACCGTAATTGCTGCTATCGCCAATGACCAGAATAATAATAGTAAGCCTGATTAAAAGCGTATCAGGCTACTAACTATCATTTTAAGAAAATGCCTTAAAACTGCAAGAAAATGTTGCTAAACATTAGATAAAATTTATTTTCTAAACACATTGTATTCTATGCAAAAATTCTCCAGCTTTCTTGGTTCATAAGATTCTTCCAAATTAAAACGGAAATTTATATATATATATATATAATTGGCGCTTTGTAACCGCTAAACCAATTTAAAACCATTTTCTACCATTATGATCCCGATGCTCTTACTTACTTTAATAAGGATTTGATCACAGTTGTAAGGTAATAAATAATTACTAGCGACGAGTAAACTGTTAAAGTTCTTACCTCACTCACATCATTCATAAAACGATTACAGAGCTGATAGCCTTGTAAAGCTGCCGGTTAAAGCGTACATAACTTCATTAAACGCGACATACTTACTCACCTACACCTACCTGCCGCCTCCAAAGTCCTAATGACCACCTCGCTTGCGTTAACTGCACCGATAAAATCAGACGAATCAAGAGTAAGTCGGCTAGTCAGTCAGCCAAATAGTCAATAAGTCAGTAAGAGCGAGCTTCATTTACGGCCAACGAACTCTGCGCAGAGCTGAGTTCACATTTCTTCCATTTTTTTTATATTAATATATTTTTTCCTTCACTTTTATACTTTAGCAATTAACACTCTTGGCTATTTATTGTTAGTCCAAATTAATATTTTCCCCCTTCGCTCAGTTTCAGCACTAAGCTCATTAGTGGGTATGCTCGTACTTTCCAATGAAAGTGATTAAAGTACTGAAAATAGTAGTCTCAATACTTCTTCAGTCATGGTCGAATCGAAGAATTGTTCTAATTTTTTTCTTATATTTCAAAAGGAATTAGTAACGGAAACGAAAGTTGGCAAATACCAATGAATAAAGCGGAGTAAAATACTTAACCTGTTGGGAAAACAGCAAGTCGCAAGAGCCACAACTTCGAGGAGGAGCTCGGCCGAAAATCGCTTCAGCGGTTATAGAGCGCCAATTATATATATATTTATACATACAGTGACTCAAACGTATAATTGGACACTAAATCTAAAATTATTCAAGGACCTATTGTTCTCTTCAGTGTAAAAATTTGCAAAAAATTTTGATGCAGAGTTGTAGATTATTAAAAACTCCTTTAAAGCAATGTATAATACTTATAATCTTTTATTCAGATATATTTTTAAAATAAATAAGAGAAAAAACGAACAAAATTCTTGTCAAACGTATAATTGTACAGTCAAATATAAAATAAGAGTTTTAATATTTGGAAGCAAAACCTTTTGCTTTTATTACTGCTTCTAAATGCCGGTGCATCGACTGTACGAGATTGGCGCAAAATTCCGGAGATATGTAGTCCCACTCTCGTCTGATTCCCTGCTTTAACTGCCCTACTGTGTTGAAAGTAGATTTATAGAGCTTACGGGCAAGTTCCTCCCAAACATGCTCAATAACGGTGAGATCTGGCGACTGTGCCGGTGTTTGCAGCAATTTTAGACAATTGTGAATGAGCCAGAGTTTTACAACATGTGAAGTATGCTTTGGATCGTTGTCCTGATAGAAAGCAAATTTGTCGAAAATCTTCAATTTATCCGCACTTTGCTTCACATTTTGCTTCAAAATGTCTAAATATTGGAATCGATTCATTTTACCATCTATCAAATGAATATTCCCATCTCCTGCAATAGAAACACATCCCCATACCATTACTGCACCTCCCCCATGCTGGACCGTAGCCCGGGTGTTGTTAGGCAAAAACTCAGTATTTGGCTTACGCCAAACGTACATCTTTCCATCTGACCCATGTAGGTTAAATTTACTCTCATCAGTAAACAGCACCTAATAAATAAGTGAAAAGATTAAAAAATAAAAAGAATTTAACAAGTTTTTGCAATATTACCTTGTTCCAAAAGTGAGAATCTTTTAACAAATACTCCTTACAAAATTTAACCCGTACAATTTTATTCTTCTTACTGATATATGGTTTTTTTCTAGCTATTCGCCCATTGAAATTATTTTTCTTTAACACGTTACGAATGGTCTCAGCACAAATCTCTTTTTTTAAAGTCGTGTTGACCATATTTCTTATTTCATTCGCCGTTGTAACTGGTTTTGTTTTTATTCCTCTCAGAATCCACCGCACATCATAGTCAGTTAATTTCTTTCCCTGGCCAATACGACTTTTATTTTCTAATTGAAAATTTTGACGATACCTTTGAATTATAGCATGCACTGTGGACGGGCGTCGGTCAACAATTTCAGCAATTTTACGCACGGATTTACCCTCTCCATATAATCTAATAATTAAATGCCGCGTTTTTTAAAGTTGTTTGTTTTTTTCTTTGATCCATTTCAATTTTGATCCGCACTTTGAAAACTACATTTGCATACTGATTTATCATTTGCATTGGAATTAATATCAACTCACTCAGAGGAAAAATAACGGATCCAAAGAACCGTTTTGCAACAATATTTCGTAACCTACATTAAATGTCCAATTATGCGTTTGACAAAAATTTTGTTCGTTTTGTTCTCTTTTTTAATTTAAAAATATTTTTGAATAAAAGATTATAAGTATTACACATTGCTTTAAAGGCTTTTTTAATAATCTACAACTCTGCATCAAAATTTTTTGCAAATTTTTACACTGAAGAGAACAATAGGTCTTTGAATAATTTTATATTTAGTGTCTAATTATACGTTTGAGCCACTGTATATATACAAAGTACTTAAAACTGATACTGATGATGTGTGGATGCGAAGAGATGGCGAGAGTTTTGAAAACTTTCTAAGTATTTTCCTCTGAGGGGACATTAGCGGATACCAATAACGAAATGTGCAAAAGCCTGTTTTATCACAGATAATTAAATGAAATCCCTGGTACTGCATGCCATAAAAGTGTCCATGTTGACGTCAGCCCTTTAATTAATTATGGACGAGGCTTACAATTTCTCCTTTCTGGATTGGCTTATCTCCTTGAGTACCAAAAGTTGATTTCTTGGAGAATAGGAAGAGAAAAGGGAGGAGATGGGAATTCCACGACTAGTTCAACAAAGAAAATCTTCAACGGCCTTCTCGTTAATCAAATGCCAATAAATTTTTTGGGCTCATCCAGCCGCTGAACGGCCCACATCAACAACGATACAGCAGCGCTGACAGCCATAACTCAATTCTTATTAAAAGATTCGAGTTTCGGGAATCTGGATTCGGGAATCATCGTTGTTGATACACAAACGTAGAAACGAAAATGTGGCGAAACGGGGACTACGACGGTTGGGTATTGTGGATGCCAACCGACCAATCAGAATTCTATGATTTTGTAATTTTACGCTCTTATGCTCGATTTGGGTTTCCTAGCCGCTGTGAGTGGCAGATTGGAAGTAGTATGTATGTCTGTATGTATGTAACGCCATTGTCGTAATATCTTAAAAGCCAAATGGAAACAAATACGCACACACTAGCACAGTTGCTCATGCTCATATAGGTGTGCAAGTGCGCATGTGAGTGTGGAATAGAACCTTTTTGCCTTTGAGTGGGATTTTCAATCGACCGTGACAAGCCGACACACACAGCTCAGCTCAACAAAGACTGAGCCATGTAAGCGAATGAATATGAAAAAACGTCGTTTGCCAACTGGTTGTGGCTGTTCTTACTATGTTTATTCTAAACCACCTGTGGCGTTTCGGAGAGAGCGTGTTGTGAGTGTGTTTTGTAAACGAGTGTTCTGGGAGAATTTCTCTTTGGCATCGGCTACGGCCTTTCGTTCAGTGTAGGCTCGGATGAGCCAACAGGTAAGTAAAAGACAATCAAAAGAGATAAAATAATTCCTTATTTCTGTTGCTGGTGTTGTTGGTGAGAGTCCAAAGCGGAGCTTGGCTCAAGTGTTGAGTTCAGCAGTGTGAGTTGATTGCTGTTGGATGATGAATTACTGTTACTGCTTTCATTGAGTAATGACCACTTAGAATACCATAAACCGATTGGGTTTGAGCGAGCGAATGGAGCTCTACTCACAAACATACAAGCACAGACTTATCTCTTGCCACCGTCACTGTTATCGCCGAAGTGCGAGTCTTATGAGTATCAGAATTTTCTTTGTGCGCACATGACAACTCCTAATTGAAGGTGAGAGCGTGTGTGTGTCTGTGTGCTTTCGAAGTGTAAGCGGGAAGCATTTGTTGCTCGGTGAGCGCGTAAAAGTTTAACTATCTATTAACGATTACAGGCCGAGCGACTGAAATTCAGTGGCAATGCTAGAGGCGTTCAGCTCAAAAAATTCTACTCGGTTTTGAGCTCAGCTTTGTCGAGCGTTTCGGCGTGTCTGTCTACCTTTCTAGCAGATTGTGTGAGTGTTTGTGTTTGTGTTCGGGTTTCATTCTGAGCGATTTTTTCGATGGCTCGCAAGTGTGTCCATGACATTGATGTGGCAATGCGACTCATCCGTGATTCAGTTTTCCGCAAGCAACAATACGATCGAGACACGGTTTCGTAAGCATTTTCTGGATGTGAGACTTTTACATATCCACACACATATACGCTAACTAAGCAACAGTGTAAGCCAGTCTAACGACTAAATCACATACACTACATACATACGTACTTAGCAAAGAATACTGGCTATGCGGTTTTGTTGTGGAATAGAAATAACAAGAAGAAGAAGCAAAAGAATAAGAAGACAACAAATCGGTCTAGAGGTGAAAGAAAAGTGTTGATGGCAATAAGCAGCTTAGTTTGGTTAGAATAGTTGCTTCGAAAGGTTGGAAAATTGGAAAGAGAATGAATGCAAATAAACAAATACGAAAATGTGACAACAAATAAACTTATAAAATTAAACCAAATTAATTAAGCCAACACCAACAGTGAAAATGTAATTGGTGAACTTGTGTTTTGAATTACGACAAAGGCATTTTGGAGAATCAGTGCAAATATTTACAAATTGGCAAAAGAAATTACATGAAAAGTTGCGGAACAAAAATAAGTTGTGAATATTAAAGAAAATATGAAAATTCTAAGTGAAAACCAGAAACCCGAAGGAGAAGGAAAAATAAAAATTCTATTCAAGATTAAAACAAATAGCAAATAGTTATAGTTTAGAAAAATAGTTGATAATTGTTAACCCATAAGACTGCATTTATTGGATTAAACGCATAAGTTAAGCAGCATTTAAGTGCAAAATAAAATAATCTGTAAAAAAAAAAATTTAAAAAAGTATTTCAACAATATTGAACTTAATAATTAGAATAAGGTGAATAAGAAAGCAATAACTGTTTAAAGACACATTTTTAAACAAAACACATGCAAGTTGTAGGATAGTGTGAGAAAAGTAATTAACAATAATTTGTTTTTGTGTCAGATGAAATTGGATTATCCAATCAGTGTTGGTGTAAACACTAATTAAATACAACAACAACTGGGAATATTACGCAAAACTAATGGAAGAACTCAACTACAACAACAAAGGTACCACACATTGAAACGCTGGAATCCACACACATACACACACACACACATAAATAAAAAAAATTTATATACAGCTTCATGTTGATTGCTGCCGTTTAATTGCTGTTTCATATAATTGGAGTATACATACATACATACATACAAACAAGTGGATTAGCCGTTGGATTTCAAATGCAAATGTATGTCGGCTTATGAAGAGGTCTAGGATGTCCAATTATGTTCATTAATGGTAAGTAAGCAAAATTATTAAAAATGAAAAAAAACAGAAAAAAATTATTGTATTTAATTAATAAATGAAAAAATGTATTAAAAATATGAATTTTTTAAATTTATTTTATTTATATTCTTAAGTAAGTTAAGTATTTTGAAGAAAATTCTGGTTTTCCAATATTTGGAATGCTTGCTTCCAGAATGTTCCGTTATACGTAAGGGGAGAGTAAGCTTTATTTGCTACTTACCACATTAGTTCTCGTAGGGAGCGAAGAGAATGCAAGAGAGTGAGATGAATTGAGTAAAGTTCTGGAGAAAAATTAGTTCTAATAAAAATGGAAGAGCAGGTATTATAGGTTTAAATTCTTAAAAAATTATTTAAAAAATGAGTTTTTGATTTTGCCTGCAATAAAATATTGATTAATTCATTTTCAGTGGCAACCAGTAACTCCAAGTTAAGCTTCCATTTTTTTTTAAAACTGTAATTTCATGTACTTCTTTTCCATAATTCGATTTCACGTTTATTCTGTGCTACCAAATACTATTTCTGGCCGTGTGTTTCACATCCTTGCTCCGCACTTATTCCCCGTCCTGCTATCCAACAGCTATGCATAAATTTATGAGTTTATTGAAATATGAGTGATTGTTTTAAATAATACTAAGTTTAATTACCTTTTCTGGGCAAGCTTGAAATGATTTTGCATCCAAAACAGAGACTCTGAAGGAATTAGCAAGTACACATATTGGATAAGTTTATAAAGTTGAATATATATTTATTTGTATGAAACATAATAATTTGTGAACAATTATAATGCATGGGAAATAAAAGTTATTATTTTAATTACCACTTGCCATTTTTTAAGTTATCTTAAACTTTGTTCAAAATCTATTAACTAACTTCCAGAGCGAGAAAAAAACCTTTATTTGCCTTCCTGAAATCCAACAACAACAAAACGAAACCATATGAGCTCATCATTATAACGAAACGTAAAAAAAGCGTTAAAAACATCTATGAAATTGAAATTTAATATCAACAAAAAGCGTAAATTGTTGAAAAGTCTAAGCGCAAAGCAGACGTCAGCAGTGAAACAATGAAAGAAATGCTATTTATATGCTCACATACTTACACTTTTTCAACACTGTTGAAAATAAAAGTGACTTTTTACAAACTGCTGTCAGCTTAGCTATTAAATTATTAATTACCAAGAGCTTAGCGACACGTACATAATACAAGTACTTGACTGATGGCATTATGTAACATGACGAAGTCAAAAGAATGACAACTAAGTAGACAGCTTATGCAAAAAGGTTTACAAGAATTAATTTCCTAGATGTGAAACAGGTAATGCCAATCAGAAAGAGGGGTATACTAGAACCGAAAGCTCTTTTTAATAAAGTAAATACAATAAAAAATTCATGGTTACACTTGGTCGACTGGCCAAAACAAAAAACTTAAGCCACGAACTCCAAAACAGTTCGTGAAAAAACTTTACTTAAACAAATTTAATACCGTTGGCGACGCATAGAAACAAAGCAAACACATCAATTAAATTTTTTATTCAGCAATCCTATGAAAATAAAAATTTTGGAGCTACTTGCTGATTGATAACTATTTAATAAAAAAGTATAACTTAATCATGTAAACAACTAGTTTTTTATTATAGATATGAACTGAAGCCCCTTCTACTTCAATTATATAATCTCTTGTTCATTCACACTTAGCTTCTCAAGTACTCGTATCTCTTACACTGAATTCATCTAAAAAATAGTAAGAGATACAAAATACACTTGTATAGGACGTCTGGGTCTCTTTTTTTTAGTCTAAGTCGAGTTAAGCCTTCTGCAACTAGTTTCTAAAAGGTTTAATGCTATAACCTCGCTGTTGTGCTTCATCTTTTACGTACAATTCACGTTGCTGTTGCCGACTACTTATAAGCGGAATCGTAATGATTGATTGTTGTGGTAATTATCCAAATACATTCGCTTTTGTTATGGCATTCGCTTGTTTCTTATTTCATTATAATGTGTTAACATCTTCATTAGTTAAACTCTTTATTCAGAATTTATCAACAGTCTAGGAAAATAAATGATGAAGAAAAAAAATATTATTATAGAAAAATTTAGGCGGCTAATAGGACGTGCAATATTCAATTGAAAACAGAATCAATCAACCAAATTGACCAATTTCAATACCCAATTAAATTAAATAAAAATGTAAATAGGAATTCAGAGACTAAGAAAAGTAAATGCATAAAATACTACCGAAATTTTTAAAAGCCTTCCTTTGAAAACAATTAGTCACCAATGACCCATTTATATATTTATAATATTTTACTTAATGCAATTGAATTTCAAGAATCACTGATTTCCTATTAATTTTGTGTTTATTTTTATTATATTATGCATTTATTTGCTCATATTTTGCTTGCTATTGAGGCAGCAAAGCATTGTTGTTGTTCGACTTTTCGAATATGGTGATTACCGCACAAACCAGTTACCGGTGGCAAAACAAAAAAAAAAACACATATATAATATTATATTAATATACATACAAACTTTGAAACAATTCTTGCTTCTTACTAAATAACATCGGCAAGTCATTAAATAAATAAAATTGTAGGCGAAAACAAAATAATGACAAAAGCAAGGAAGAAAATGGCAACTCAATAATAAAGAATTATTAGCGGAAATTAATAACAATTCAAAATATTTTCTGTTTTTAAATATAAAAATTCAAGCAAGAAAACAATATTAAAAAGTAAATACCATCTCTTATTTACTTCAACCAAAGCAACTGCACATAGGACTATACTCATATATAAGAATATTGAATTCACGCCAGCATATTCCCTCGACATTAGAAAATAGCCCACCCTACTGTATGTGTGTCTTTGAAAAGCGTTTGAAAACCTTGACTTTGACTTTGAATGACTCCAAAGTAAACGTGACGGATAATAAGTAAACCCACAGACGAACTCATTACACACACAGCTGCACTGATGAATTAAAACACACTGAGACGGAGACTGTGACTTAGGCAGGCAGCGGGTGATGCATAGGTTAAGAGCGCTAAAACGTAGTAGCAAAACATCGTGTGGTGTCAGCTCTCCTCAGTGGAGCCAAAACAAAGCTTATAAATTGTTGAACGAAAAAGCGAGAAATATCTATGTAGAGGAAAATTGTCATTGTATTGGCGCAAATCGATATCAGTATTTACTTATGCAAATAAGCCCATTATGAACTTTGCGAGAAATCATGTTACTGAAAAAGGAAAATATATGCAACAGTTTCTACAGCAGAGCCGAGCTCTTATTAACATACAGAAGATTACGATTAATAAATACAATAAATTAAAAACCAATAGAGTAAGCAATTTTTTCGCTTTGATTTATTAATTTAATTTTCAATTTAAAGGTCATTTTAATGGAAGTTAGACTTGACGCGCACTTTTGAGCTGGCTTTAGAACATGCCTAATACATTCTAATATACTGAATTTCGTATTCGTTTTGCTAAATATTCACCTTACTTATTTACAGTTATTTAAAAATCAAATTTTTGCAACAACCTGCCAATCAAGTTACACAATTTACATATGTAAACAGAAATGTGGCGTTGTAGAAACAGCAGAATAGCTTTGGAACAGTAAAAATAAATTAATACGCAATTTCTCGTAGACACTGTGACCAAAAATATTTTAAAACACTTTTCCAACTTCAAGCATACACACATTCACATACATGTAGATACAGCTAAACTCAATTCGATAATTTATGTAAATGAAGTCAACATAAGTGTGCGTTTACCAACCATATACAATATCTATGGGCGTGTGTTTATGCGTATTGAAATCTTCAGATCCATGTTCAACATAGAGAATACTAAGAGCAAAACAAAAAGGCTAAAAAGTAGATGCTGGTGCCATTGCTAGTCATTACCATTGTTGCTGTATTTGTTGTTGTAATTGCTTTTATAACGCCACTGTTTCTGCTGCTCTTGTTCCATATATTTCATCACTGCTTTTTCAGCTGGAGCCTAATCATACTCAAACATTCAAAAAATAACGATAAACCCAGCGGAGGGGCATAGAACTGCCCATATGCAGGTATGCGAACTAAGTTCATTGACTTTTAAACATTTTTTGGAGTCTCTTGGTTTGGTTCATTATCGGTTTTAAGCTACAGAGCCAATTTTTGCTCATTTCCTAAGCTCATTTCTGCGCTTCTGAATTTTGTCTTGCTTTTGGTTTTGACTAAAAAAAAATTTTAAAAAATAATAAATCTTATTCAGACAAATCCGTGCCTTCTTAGAAGACTGTATAAACTTTCCTCATTACTTTTTCACTATTATATTTTTAATTTAACTGTATTCATTTAAGTGTATTTAAGTTTCCTTATTTTAATTAGTTTTATTTTAAATTTTGCGCTGAGTGCTATTTTCAATTTAGCTTTGTATTAAATTATTTCATAATCAAGATTATATACAAACATATATGTACGTGTATATTAAAATTAATTTTTTTATTTGATTTGATTTTGTTTACATATAAATATTTTTTGAACTAAACTAAGTTTTATCGAGAATTCATTTTTCCTGTCAATCTAACCAGCATTTGCGCAATAGCAGTGAGCTTTCTACACACCGCACGCCGCAAAACAGATTATCTACAAAACTATTTCTCACATTTGCAACTATTAATGCTGTCATTTATATCATTTTTCCTACTACTCATACATACACTTTGTGGCAATCAAAAAATTCCTACGCTTAAGTACGAGTACACTGCGAACTGGCACTGGGCGCTGACCGAGCTTCCTCTCGCACCAGGCAAATGCTTTGCGAGAAAGACTTAAGCAGCAAACTCGTTCTGATGCCAGGCGACGGTTTTCCTGCATTTGAAAGTGTATTTTCTTTCCTTTGCTTAGTTTGTTTTATTTTGTCAGTAATTACATCAACAATTGCGACTTTATTGCCATTATCGAAACGTAAATTGCACATTTTAGTAACTAATAAGCGAATGC